ATATATATAGTTTACAATAAAATAAATATCTTTACTATTGTTTAACCTATGAATTCTACAGTTACTTGAAATTGCTATTGTTACAGTTACTTGAAATTGCTACTGCTACTTGAAACTGACATTGCGAAGTTTTACGTAGAATTTTAAAAAAAAATTAAAAAATCTGCGCAAACCTACATTTTGTTACAGATTTGCGCAGATTTTTTAATTTTTTTTTCTTTACTAATTGTCGTCAGATTCAAAGTTTTGCGCAGATTTTGGATCTGAAGATCTGTACAAAACTGTGCCCTCAAAAATTTTCTAATGATATTGTAATATGAAGCAATCAATAATATAATTAACTAATATTCTACTAAAAGTTCATATCATAACAATATTTATAAATTTCAATAATTTATTTATATTTAATATAAAATAAGATTTAATTAATTATATATATTAATTATTATAACTATATTAATAAAAATTATTTTATTATTTGATATATATTCTATTTATTAATTAATTATAAGCAGATTAATTAGATTTATTTATAATAATATTAATAATATTACAAAAAATTAAAATATATTATTGATCAGAAATATTATAAAAATAATAATAATTATTTAATTTATAAAATAATATGATATTTGATTTAGTTTTAACTTATATTAATACTATTAGATTTGATTTTGAGTTATATATAATCTTTTATTTTTTTCAAAAAATTTAAGCTTGATAATATAAAAGTTAAAAATTAGTTCTTATTAAAAGAATAAAATGTTTAGTAATTTTAATAATTATTTTAATTACATCTAATTATTATATTATATAAGATCTATGATAAATATATGAATTAATTCTTATAAAATTTATTTATATTAATAAGTAAAGATTTGAAATTATAAGATTAATTTATTTTTTTATTAATATAAATTTGATCTTTTTTTATTAAAAGAAATTGATTTGATTCTTGATTTATTAATAAAAGTATTATTAAGTAAAATAATTTCAAAAGTAATTTATTATTTTATTAACTGATAAATATATCTTATAAATAAATGATTTAATTTCAGATTAAATAAATATTATATAATAAAAAAAAACTTCATAATATAAATAAAAGAAAACTATTTTAAAAAGATATATTCTAAAATAATTTATCATCTTGATATTATATTAAGATTTAGAAATTATATTATAATAATTAAATAATTTTATTATTTTAATTTTTATTTATTTATAAATTATTATTTTAATAAAGAAATATAAGTTTAAAAGTTTATTTAAATAAATCTAAAAAATGCAAAGAATTATAATATATTATCTGAAATAATTTTTTAAAAATATTTGAAAAAATTTATCATAATTATTTTAATTAAGATATTTACTTTTTTATTTAATTTATTACCTGAATAAGCTTTAATTTTTTAAAAATAAGTAATATATTTTTGAGTTGTATTAGTTTTGATATGTTATATCATATGCATTAAGCTACTGTTTTGAGAATTTTGCATATTGATAAATTATTTAAATATTGAATCTATTTGATTATTAATAATATTATTACTTGACTATTAATAAAGATTATGAGCTTTATATTTTTGAGAACTGCTTCAAGTGCTAGGAGAATAGCCATTCCTTCAGCTATGAGCTATGATTGAGACTTTTTGTGAATATGTACTTGCTATGAAGCAAGTTTTCATTAATATTTTTATTTATATTATAATAATAAGATATAATTTAATATTTTGATTTTTTATTATTTTTTATTAATATTAAATAAGTAATTGAAATCAGGAATATAAAGAATAAAAATTATAAAAAAATGACTTTCACTAGTAAGTCAAAATCAAATATAAAGCAAATTAAAGATAATAAGACAAAGGTTATTAGTTAAAAAATATAGATCTTAACATATATTCAGAATCAGCATCAACGAATTACACGATATGAGTCATATGAGTCATAAATATAAAAAAAATCCAAGCATCTAAAAAACAAAACTGCCGCTACTTCATAATGTCCGCGCGAACTTTACGTGCAATTAAGCTATTGCTCGGACCAAAATTTCACGTGGACACAAACAAAGCTTTAACAGCAATCCTATTTTTGAGGAATGGTAATGGAAATGGAATAACGCGTCGTAATAGTTTAGATTCAACAAGGTTTATGCACGGCAAGTTTGTGAAGTGGAAACTTTTTTGAAATTGGTATTGTTATATTCTGTTATAATCCTCACTTGGAATTTACACTCAAGGTGATTTTGGCTTGCAGTCACCAGTAAATGGCACTACACAACCGAAGTCTTACCAAAAGACAACGTTAATGCTGCCGTCACCGCTGTCCCTCTACCGATTTTTAACTCACCAACTAAACAAATTACTACTACTGGTGCTTCCCCATCTCTTGATGGTACGTCCGTTGATACCGTTTCCTCCCCTGCGAAAGAAGTTGATCTTGCGATAGTCGAAATGAACAAAGAACTCTTAAGATTGACGAAATGGGGGAATTTGGGAGAGATATATAATCATTGCCAAGATATGAAAAATCGAGGGATAAAACCAAATACGAAGACTTATAATCTTTTACTTCAAGTATATCACCGTGAGGGTTTATTCAACGAATGTATACAATTACTCCATGAAATGATTAATCATGGGATTCCACCTGATTTGGAAACTTTTGATTACGTGTTATTGGTGATAATCATGTTTATTATTCGATATTTTATTCTCGAAGTATATAAGAAATCTAATCGAGATTCCTTCTTAACAGTCTACATCCTTTGAACTAACAGGCATATATCGTGAATATGTATGGAGCCTCCTTGAAAAACACGATCTAAGACCGTCTTCTCTTACTTATGAACATTACCTTGAAAGCTTCTTAATTGTAGAAGAATTGGAACATGCTATTGATGTTCTCGATGAATTACTTGAAAAAAAGATTTTTCCCACCGCTAGAACTTTTTGGCAAGTTACAAAGTTAGCAATTGCATTAAATGAAGTTGATTTGGCATTCGATACATTGCTTAAATTTGAAAAACAATACCCACATGTATTGCCAACAATATATATGGAAACTTTGAGATGTGCTTCAATTCATTTTCATGTGAGTATTCTATTAATCTTATTTGATTGAAAGAATACTTTAATTTATTTATAATATTTTCAGCTTGAAGGTATTCTTCATTGTTGGAAAAAAATAGTAGACGATGCTAAAATGGTCCCCGATCAAGGAATATGCCTCAACATTATTAATTCGGCAGCTAGATTTGGAAACCCTGATTTAGCCAAAAGAGTCATCAAATTACTTGTAGCAAACCGAGTTAAAATTGAAGAACAACATTTTGCCGCGCTTTTGGCGTCATATGTTGTTGCCGGTGATTTGAAACGTGCTTTCAACGTGTTAGAACTGGCACGCGCCTCTGGGGCTGAACCAGACTATGTGACAGCGTTGCCAATTACCGATCTCATCAAAACCGATGTCGAAAAAATCGACGATGCATATTATACTCTAGAGGAGCTTCATTCAAAAGGTAGAAAAGTAGATGTATCAGCCTTGAATGCAATAATTAGAGCTTGTCGCTTTGTCATCTACAACAAAGAGACTGGCTTGCGCGAAGCTGATATACACAGAGCAGTAGAGACTTATAATCAAGCCGAAAAACTTGATATAACACCAAACGTTCAAACCTTTGAAATGCTTATTGAGTGTTGCCTTTCTATAAAACATCGACTTCTCGGTCAACAATTCATGGAAGAAATGCGTAGTCAAGGTATTAGTCCTACACCTAAAATATACGCTAACATGATTCAACTAGTGTGCACCGACACAGATTACGAGGATGCATTCGCTTTACTCGAAGAAATGAAATCGCGCGATATTTTACCGCCAAGAACTGCTTACGAAGCAATTGTTAGAAAATGTGCATTACATCGGGATCCCAGAGCCAATATTGCTTTGGAGGAGATGCAAACTGTTGGTTACGCAACCTCGACAACTCTAATTAATTTTGTCAGAACAGGAATCATCCCAAATACAAATGTTTTAAATTATATGAGGAAAGAAACAGCAGCATTCGAGGGTAGAAATCGAAAACCCAATATGTCCGCGGATCCGGAGTTAGACATGCTTCAAGCAGCGCTTGATAATTTGGACGGAGATAATTCCAATTTTAATATTCCAAATCTCAATCAACAAGACAATTATAATTCTAATAATTAATAGAGATCCCGGTTAATAAAATAAGTTTCCAATGTGATTAAATGTATGCAATTGTTTGTCATGAGGGAGGGAATTTCTAAACAGTAAATACGACCGATCGGGTATTTAGAAAGTTGACTTATGTTTCTTAAAGATCTTATAAGAATTTTTCGTGATCAATAATTATATATATTAGCTGTTTAGATAATTTATTACTAGGTTATAATTTATTTCATTCATATTATTATTAAAGGATATTGTTTGTTTTTATTATCAAACATGAAGATTAAAACCAGATTTATTTTTGAAAATTAAAACCAGTTTAAATCTGGTTTCAAATTTAGAATATTAATTCTTTCAATAACAGTTTGAAAAGTATTTATTCAACTTTTTATAACTTAATAATTCCTGATATTATAAAAATATTCATATATTTTAAGAACTTTCTGTTTTATATTCCTGAATATTATATATAAATATTTGTTAAATATTTCAAATGAATATGAAAAAATTATTTTTCATGAATTATTCTTAATAATCTTGAAGATTATCTTATTTTCAAGATATATACAGTGTGTATCAAAAAAAATTGACTTTTTTTTAAATAATTTATTAAATATTTAATTAAATATTATGTATAATGATTTATTTAAGAAATAAAAATATATATTTTTTATTTTTAAGAAAAAAATATATATTAATAAGGAATTCATTTATCATTATTATCAATAATTATCTGATAATAATATTTCATTGATTTAATAAAATTATTTAAAGAATTAGTTAGAATATTTTGTCATTTTTCAATCATAAACTGCTCTAATTCATCAAGATTTGATGATAACCATTTCTTCACATTATACTTAATAATATCCTATAAATTTTCTATAGATTAAGATCCAGGCTATTAGCCAGCCAATTGATAATTTTAGGAAAGTTCTTGTTAATAAACTCTTTGGCAATTTGACTCATATATTTTAAATTATTGTCTTGCTGAAATCTTCATCAACTACCAAATATTCTTTTAATTTTTGGATAGTATTGATGCAAGATTTTGACATAAAATTCATTATTCATGATATCAGTAAAATAAAATAAAGATGTTTTATCTTTAATATCAAATTCTATCCAAGTGAAAATTTTTTGTTAATATTTTGAAAGTGATTTAATCAGTTTATGATCCTTATACCATTATTTTACTGTGTTTCTAAATAAAGAAAAAGCTATCTCATTAGAAAATAAGATTCAGTTTCAATTATCATTAAGATATTTTATGACTTATTCAATCTATTTCTCTTTATAAAGATCTATAAGTATTAAAATATCTACTGGAAGAGTATTTTTATAATCAAGCTTCTTTAATTTTCTTCCTATAGTCAAGTATGATATAAACTTCCCATTCTTAGATAATTTTATGATCAAGATTCGCAAAGATAAGATACTATTCTTCTTAATGTAATGTTCAAAAACATATATTCTCACCAATCTAATCTTTTTTGGATGGTCATTGCCTCTTAGATGTGTAATATTCCCTATTTTTTTTATTTTTTGGATATTGTACTTGATTGTGAAGTGAGAAATATTGATAAGCTTTTGGAGTTTCTTAAGTAAATGTATTTCTTAATTCTAAAAATGAAGGATCATTTGATATTAAGAAGTTAATCTGGTTTGAAACATTTTTTTAAAAAAATTTTTTATAGAAGAGATGTCCTTTAAATATGTTAAATATATGCAAGAGACCATGTATTACCATCATTATAATTATTATGTACTTGAATTAATTAATTTTTTAAATAAAATTTATAATAAAAAAGGATAATTTTTTTTGATACATACTGTAACTTATATTAAGTTTTTTAATTATAAATATTTAACTTGATTTTGTAAAATTAATTTTTTTCTTATATTATTTAAAGAAGTTAATTATATTTTGTATTATTTAATATATATTTTGATCTATTTGTAATTCTTATTTTTTAATCTAATAATAATAATAAATATATTGAAAAATATATTTGAAATTTTACAATTTTTGTACTTATTTTATTATTAAATTTTCTTTGTATTTTGCATATAATTAATTATATAAAATAACTATTAAATAAACTGATAATCAAATTTTCTTATTAAGTTAATAATATTAAATATTATAATATTTCAATAAGAAAAGAATTTATTCTTGAAATAATAGTTTGAAATAAATCAATATTTTAATACTTATTAATTTTGATTAAAAGATTTATATTGAAGAAATAATAAGAGATACTTTAATAAATTTTGTATATACTTTTAAGTAAATTTATAATAATATACTTAATTATTTATTCATTTTATTAATTTATTTATTTTTTAATACAATTACATGAAAATAGTGATGAAAAATTTTCATTATACAATTAATCTTCTCACTGCAAATCGCTAGATAGGATACTATGTTGATTATAAAATAATTTATTATTTATTGGTTCTAGGTATTCAATAAATCACCGAATTTAGTATCGAGGTTTGATTGGTACTTTTAAGTTAATAGTTAAAATAAATTTTATTTTCATATCCAAACAACAATATTCTCCAAATTCCCATCACCTCTTTCTTTCCATTCTATTTTCTCTTGTTCGAAAAATCGTTGAATATAATCATCCGAATATCTTTTTGAGAAATGTATAAGAATAAATACAGTGGCTGAATACAATTTCACAACATCTTGTAGTTCTTGCCAACAAGTGTGTTTTGTACGCTCTGCATTCTCGATATGTTCGTCTTTAAGAAATGTGCATTCGGTTATTACAAAAGGCATATCGTTCCATTGGTGGTTATTGTTTTTGCTGCTATCATTTAAAATATTCGAATTCGGATTTGGATGTTTAAAGATTTTTGCGGTTGTATCGCCGCAAAATGTGAACAATGGAAAAAGAAAATCTTGCATAACGTTCAACGATTTATCTGATTTTTTTAACGCAGCAATTTCTTGTCCGGTTAAATTTTTATATTCTGGCTTTAATCTTTTTCTTTTAGAATAAATCATATAACCAACACAAGGCACACTATGATCCATTTCTATGACATGTATTTCATATCTACTATTAACACTACTCTTTTCTTTCTTCTCTTTCTTCTCTTTTTCTTCGATCGTCAAAACATCACTTTTTTCGACACCAGCACAATGAATTCTTGCATTTTCTCGCCCATAACCTGTCATCTCCCGTGTAGCATTCAAATAAGCTTCCGCTAACTCTGCACATTCATTCGGTAAATAAATATTAGGTGGATTTTCCCTAGACATATGATGAGTCAACGCGAGAGAATGATCACTATGTATATGTGTGAGGAAAATGTGAGTGGGAAGTGTACTGTGCACTTTCATCCCACAATCAAACATGAATCCAAGTTCGGGAATATAGAATGCCGTTTCATTTGCTGCTTTTGATGCACCAATTAGTGTTAGTGTAGGTGAAAAAGGTGTTTGGAGCAGAGTGTGGGATGGAAATTTCCAAATTAATATTTGGGGTTGTATCGTGCTTGTTGATGTCCTTGTTTGGGGTGTCGGATGAGAGAGATGTACGTTAGTATTAGTAGAATCCATTTGATTGTATTTTTATTATTCTTATGGAATCATTTAGATATAAAATGCCCTCTTTATATCTTTCTTGAGCTCCTTTCACTAAGCTGCGGGAATTTATTGACACATATGGCACAGAACTATATCGATATGGTCACATTTTAATAACTGCGGGTTATTGGAATAAATTTCTCTAGATGCTGCGGTAAATCATGTCAAAGACACTATTGGGTTACGACAAGTTTCGCTTGGAAGAAGGTGTCAATTCCGCTTTCAATCCTCTAAGTTTGAATCTTGCTTAATCTTCATCAGCGCTACAATATTTTCTATCAGGAAACATCGATGGGCAGGGGGAGAACTTTGACATTCTTGTTTGCCTTACATCTGGCGGAAGATAAAAGACCATTTTTGTAAAGAATGCATATAAATTTTGCACTAAATTTCTTTGAAGGTATACTAATTTGCCAAAACCTGTTGACTAATTTAAACGAAGAATACTCTCATCTGTAAATATTACATGATTCCAGTCAAAATTTATGTGCGTAAGCATGATTTTTGGGAGTAAAGATTTACGAATTTTATTGATATATTTGTCTCCAGCTTCACGTATACGCCATCTAATTATTCCATTTCCTTTTGAACGTTAGAGCTAGATAGGTCGTTGTCGTTTTTTGCGAGATTTACGATTTTTTCATCTTCTCGGGAAGTTGTATTACCGAATTTTTGTAGATCATTTGAATCTTTATTTTCTTGCCCACCTAATTACTACGCTTTTTACTACAAACCGATATAGTTTGCTATTGCTTGATAGTTTCGGCCCCTTTGGAAGTTTATACGAAAAAGCGATTTCGTATCGTTTATGAAATGACAATGACATAATTTTCCGGTTAAACAATGATAAAAAGTGATATCAAGCGAGCATCTGTGTTACTACGTGGTAAAAGTTTTAATAAATTAGAAGGGGGACTTTACTTATGTCCCCTATTGTAAATAATCGATTTATGTTATTAGATTAGCTATCCCGGTTTTTTGTGGACTGTAAAAACAATTTGAATGATTAATTCATTGCTCCGCTGCTACTAGAAACTCTTTAAACATGGATTATTTCCTGATCATAATCAAAACAAAACTATTTTCTCTTATTTCTTTATTTATTACCATTCATATGGTTGATTTTGAGCTGGAAAACAAAATAGTATATCAAAATTAAATTTTGATCACCATTACGTCAATCTCAATTATTATTAACCATTACTTACCATACAAATTGCCTTCCATTGGAACCCATCGATGCTGTGGAAACTGAGGCATCGGTGGAACAGGAAGGATATTTTGTGCGGGTTTCTTCAGTTTCGCTTTCATGTTTGTTCCTGTTTGTCCACCTCCTACACCACCGCTACCACCTACTTTGGGTGTTGATGCGTTTTCTCTGGGAGGTGGAGATTTAGGTCGTAAAGCCTCAATTTCTATATCATAGACAATACGGTCGTGGATAAAGTCGGTTCAGAAATGAGTCATAAGGTCAGTGACTAAAGGAATGTTTAGTGACAAATACCAGCTGTTGAACCCAACAAATATCCATTTGGTTCCACGAAATAATTCGCATATCGAGCAGGGTCAAAATTTGTGCTTGATAATCCCAATCCAATAGTCAACCAACCGGGACGAATATTATGATCCTGAATAAAGATAATAGCATTTATTAAATAATTAGAAAGACAGACAGATCCTGAATGAAATATAATTTAATTATACGTACTTCCCCAAATAATTCAAGTCTTCTACGTCCAAGGCAAAAATGTTCTATTATATGATATAATTCCTCTGGTTTGGCTGTGCCTACTTGTAATTTGTATAGCCGCGCATTGTTTTTTCATTAAATAAGTAAAAAATACGTATATTACAGCAAACATGTACCATCGAAGTATCAAGTAAAAATTGAAACCGACTTCCGTATGGTGGTTCCTCAGATATAATGACATCTGTATCCACGTTACAATGAATAAAATGTCCGTCTGTACTTCGACGAACTGTTCCCTTAATACCCATTATACAATGTTCTTTTGTACGCTGAAACACGGATCTTGGTTCAATAAAACGACTTCCCTGAATAAATTTATTTTATTAAAATGAATTGAAACCTAATATAAATATAGCATATATGTGCGTTTCGTAATAACGTACCTCCCATTTCTTATTGGTTTTTATCCAAACAATATCTTCACATCTTCGATATCCCCATTTGAGTAATAATTGACGTCCACGATCTAAACCATCAGAATCGCCAGACCAAATGAAAATAAAAGAAGGTGTGGCAGCTACATCTTCAATCTTTAGATTAGCGTGAAATTATTGATAATAAGGGTTAAGGAAAAATGTATTTCTATATAACTCAATAAACTAATCATTAAGGATATAATTTCATCATATGTCCAATAATCAGAATTTAAACCAGCAACCATGGGAGATCTTCGACAATACCTATATATTTAATTATCAGAGAAGTTTAAATATAAGGATTTGGTTAGATCATAAATTTTAACAAAATTAAGATAGTTATACCTAACTCTTCTAAAGGGGGGTCAATTAGAATGACATCAAATTTCGTTCCCAATGATTTTAACTCAAATGTTCTTAGATCGGCCTTTAAATAAGTTGGCGGTGTTGCTCTATTAGCAACCAATGCATTTTTCATTTTAGTTAATTCTTTTAATTTTGGATATCTAAAAAATTGTAAAATCATCAATAAAAAATCGGGAAACAGAGAAACAAGATTATCACAATATTAATTAATACTAACTCATCAAAACGTTGCGATAATTCCGTATCCCTAATGAAATTTTGTGGTCGTTTACCCGAATCAACAAAGTGTTGACAATAGTCATTACGAATAGACTTTTCCCCATCCTGTAATTCATTATTGTTGCCACTGCTCGTATTTTCTTGCATAGTAAAATTTGTTATATTTGAATTATTATTGTCGTTATCATGTTCGAACTGCTCTTGTTCGCTAATATTTGAACGAGAACTTAATCTCCTTTTGCTCTTAAACTCTCCAAAAAAGACATAATCGATGCTAGAACGAGATAAACTGCTTTGAGACTGTTTCCTCTTTGTAGCATTAGTATCGGAATTTTCAAGAGAACTTTTATTTTCCTGGTGATTATTTTCATAATTTTCAATTGGAATAGTGTCTGTTAAATGCAAAGCGGAACTCAATTGCAAACGACGCCGTTTTTGACGCGCTTGTAGAACTTTGCCTAGTCTTCTATGAGTATTTTCAAGATATTGGATTTCTTTGTCATATAAATCACTCATTATTTTATATTATCTCCAAAAAGAAATGAATTCGATTTAAACGGTAAGGATAAACAATAAATAATGAAAATATATCGCTATGTATATGCTATAATAATTAACACCCAAAATCCAATACACTAAATTATTTTATTTCTCAGATATTACAAATAGTCATCAATAGTATAATCTATTTATAACAATTCTCTCAACAAAGCAGAAACCTTCTCCTCAAACACACTTACGGAAAACTTGTTAACCACATGATTTCTGGCATTTACGCGTATAGTGTTGTACTCATCTGGTGATAGTGAGAGGATTGTGTAAATTGCGTCAGCATATGTTTGTGGATCTGTTGCGAGAAATCCTTTTTTTTGTTTGAAATGATTAATCAATTGATCAATTAAAATAAGTTTGGATATTATAGGAATTCAAATGGATATTTACCGGTTTTGTATCCATTGTGGTCTACCACAATGTCCATCTTTGGTCCCCCTGAATTATGAGCAATGGTTATGAGGCCCGCCGCCTTTAAATAAAAAATTATGAATAATCATATTGAGACCTGTCTCCTTTTACAAGAAAGAATAATAATTTCAGTAGATACCATGTATTCAACCACGCCAATCCCAAAATGTTCATTCCACATCGTATGTATCCCAATCAGTCCTCGAGAAAGCCAATCCACCAATTTTGAGAATGGCGCATTAATTTCAAAGAGAACATTTTCCTACAAGTTTTATAGGAAAATTTTAATTTCACATATTGATATAAGAAATATTAACTTTAAATTAAATGAGAGTTAATTAATTAATGTATTACTTGAATTTCTAATTGGCGGCATTCTTCACGTAATTGAGCAATACGTTCTTCGTCATCCTGATTACGTGAACTACCAATTAACACCAATTTCACTTTGTTGGGACCATCGCGTAATTCTGGATGATCTGTCAATAGTTTGTGAAATGATAGTAATTGGAGATAATGATCTTTTTCTGGCCTTTTTTTATTTTTATTGTCAAATGATCAGCATATTTATAAAAAATTATAAAAACGGGATTAAACAAAATAATGATATATACCGAAATTGAGCAACACTGACGACAGCGCGCTCACGTGCTAATTCTTCATTCTCAAATTTTATCCTTGTTACTAGTTCATCAGTATCACATGGCGGATACACAATATGACTATCAATCCGCCATATTTGATCAATGTGATTTTTGGTCCAGCTTGAATTTACCATTACTATATCTGTAAATAGGCCACCCGATAATCCATAAAGAAATGCGAATGCGTAATAGTATCTAAAGTTAATTTACAAGTTTATTATAAGATTGTAAGCGTGATAGAAAGAAAAATTACGGATATTATCAAAAATGCACATACTCACATTAACTTCCCGTAACTGAATATAATACTACTTGTTATTCGTTGATTATTATTGAATGCTGGACGTCGTGCTTGTACTTTTTTGAGCATATCTGAACTGAATTATAATCATCATTTTAATGAATTGAGTCACTTAATGGAATTACCGCATTAATTACCTTATAGTTGGGTAATGCACATATGCGGCAACTTTAATCCCTCCAACCAGTTTCACGAGTGGATAAGTGAACGCGTAGCCCATTGTATCTATTTGTTTGTTCATTGACTATTAATAATATTGTTACGTTTCTTTTTTTTTTGAGATACGCTAAATGAAATTCAATCGATAGTCTTTCGGAAAATAACTCGAGATATATAATCAAAATTAACACCCACCAAAAAAAATATCGGGCAGGAGATTAGTTAGTGCTTCCCAGCATAAGAAAACTGAGGCGATGCTTTGACAAAGTAAAGTAAATCGGGGATATCTAACGAATGAAATGATTTATTTTTAAATATTATATATGATTAAATTACAAAAAAATGAATTTATGATCGAACAATCACCTACTATCCTCAATCAAATGTCTTTTATGTAGATATACGAAAGCTAAAGAATCCGGATTTAATGAAATATTAAAACGGGACTGTTTTCAACAAAACATCAAACGTCAATGTAACATTAAATTATAATCATCAATCATTAATAAGAGTAGAAAAAATTACAATTAAAATAACTCTCACTTTAACTTTATCTAATATTTCGGATTTCGTAACATCAATATCACCCGTATACACCACACACGCCACATTTTTATATCGCTTTTGTTGTTGTATGTTACGTATTGTGGCCCATAACACCCTTTCTCCTCCACCTCCAGCATTGCTATTTTTTTTTTGTTTAGTATTTCATTATACGAATTTACAGAAAATACATTTTGTTAAACAAGTGAATATTCCTTGTTTTACCAGTAAGGATGAAAAAATCCAACTATTAAAGGCGGTTTCTCTTCTAGATCAAGTTTCAAAGAGAACCTAGATAACAACGATTTTCGCTTTTCGGTGGCATTTTCTCTAAAATATCGTTTAATCAGGTAAATGTTGATACCCAGAAGGAATAATGTAATTATCAATAATACTATAGTCAATTTTATTAATTCTATGATTATGGAAAATAGTGAAATGATTAACTCCATGATGACCAAAAACAAAGTTATAACAATTTGACAAGATATGACGTATAAGCACACAATAAAAATCTGTGATCCCATCTAAATTTAGGGATATTAATGTTTTATTTAGTTATTATATTATGAATATTGCTCTAATTCTTTAGATCAAATGACAAGCAAACAAGTCTAAGAGACAAAGAACTTTAAATTTTAAAATTATTCCTCGGTAGGCACGCCATAAATTCGTAGGCTACGATCTGATCCACCAACCATAACGAATTTCGCTAATCCACCAAACTTTAGATCATAGATTTCTCCTGGACTTTCGGTGATAAACGCAAGTTCATTCCAAGATTTCGCTTGGAATATCCTACAAGCATAATGTTGTAATAGAGAACAGAAGAAATAGAGAATTGAATAAGCGATATAATTGAAATTTCATGCAAAAGTAAATAATAAATAACAACCTAAGATCCGTGCTACCGACGGCCAAATATTGGCCACTAAGATCCCAAGTAACTTTATTAATTGCTTTCACCGTATCAGGTAAAGTAATAGTTTTGAAATTATTGAGCTTTCGCAAATCCCACAATTTGACAAGATTATCCTCTGAAGCGGTGGCAAGATGATAGCCATTCTCAGAGAATGATAACGATGTGATACGACCAGAGTGACCATCAAATGAAGCAACATTTGTTTGACTCTTTATATCCCAAATCCTAACTACAGAATCTTTAGTGCCAGTTCCCAAAATAAGCCCATCGGGATGAAACTCAACAGCAGAATAGCCTACGTCAGATAAGGATAAAGGATCTCACTGTTTGAATTGTTATTTAAGAAAATCATAGGAGAAACTTTTAAAAAAAATTAAAATACCCTTTTGTACGTCGTTACTTTCAACCTTTATTAGGTTATTTCCAGTTTCAATGTCATGAAAAGCCCAAGATGAATCAAGTGACACAGACACAAAGTAGTCTCTTGTGGCATGCATCGCAATTCCTGTCACCTCATGAGTGTGAACATTTATACTCTTACTTTCGGAATACCCTTAAATTAGCCGAGTAAAAACATTTGAATTTAATCAATAGTGGCAACCAAATAAATCATGCATTACACTATGTCTTACCATTATCCGAAGGTCGCCATATCTTCACAGTCTTATCAACACTAGCAGAAAACACGATATCAAGGTCTCCCGATTCTCTACCATGCCACATAACATCCGTGATTTTCTTCGTATGTCCTTTTAATGAATCCACGACTTTGTCCTCCTCTCTATTATAAATATGTACAATCTTATCATTACCACCAGTCAAAACAAATTGCTCGGTAGTATCGAGATCCAAGCAATTGATACCCGGGCGAGTAGTTTTGTGGAGGGAAGGTTTTTGAGAGATTTGTGTGAAACTTTTAATGTCATCAGGACTGGTAAGATTTGGCGGTGGTTTTCTCTTTTTGCGATTTTTTGATAGTCTAAAACACACACACATGAATCTCAGTAAACTGTCAAAATAATCACGTGTATTCAGGTATAAATAAACTTGTTATTTTATAGGAAACTTACTCCTTACTGGTTTCATCTAGTTTTTCAATGACTTTCTCATTGATGCCTCTTGCTCCTTCGTCTTCTACTTCCATCGGTTCTGTGACAGCAGTATCTGTTGGAGGGGGCACACCAATATGAGTCTGTACATTTGCCAGCTCTCTAAAAGTAAGAGAATTTGGTTTATTTTTAATAATAATAATGATAATAATCAAGATTTACTATTATGTAAATTTTGTAAATTCACTCACTCTCGTGCAGCATCGCGCTCTTTTATTAGTCGCGCAATTACTCGACAAGCGGCATCATGCATATACAAAGCATGACTTAACTCTTGTCGTAATTGTTGATTTTGCTGTTTAATGGTATAAGTCTCCAGCATCAAACTGTCCCATTCTTTCTGGAAAGTAGATAACAAGGAAGGAACTGAAGTCAAGGTGGGCGGGCGAGGTTTGACTGTGTCCGGACCTTTTTAGTAAAGATAGGAACAGCAATCGAAAAATTAAGTAAATACGGATTGTCAAAGAATATTAGAAAGACCAAGTAAAAAAATCTCGATATTATTACGATTGTAGCTATACATTCGAAATAGAAAAATATTTACGAAAAAAAAACACATACTTATTTTAAGTTCCAACAAATCGTCTTCACTTATTTCTTCTCCTGTAATTGGGTCCTTGCCATTTGAAGTGATATACTTAAGAATTAGGCTTTTCTCGAAGACGTGACCTGATTTTTTAGAAATGACTGGTTCTTGTGGAGGCTCTCCGGAAACTGGACAAATTGGAGTTGGTTAGTTTACCTAGAAAGGAGGCAACGTGAGCTCTCTTGAGAGCAATATCTTAAATGCTCAATGACTCGACGATAAGAAACTTACTTGCACAAAACATTATTGCTGTTATACTAAAAACAAAAAATTGGCCTGAGCTAAAAATTCCGTTTATTGAGATTATTTTTCACGTGCAATAAATAAAATCATATAAATAGAATACAAGTCTTATATTACGATATTCGATAATATTCGAGTAATGGCTGTAAATAATTCGTTGAATCTTAGAAGTCCAGGTTTTTATTGTTATGCTTTACATGTCATAATAGTTCATGCAGAATAAATTGAATTTATAAATATTAATATATTCTTTATTAGCCGTAAAACGCCTTCTTCAAGAAGCCCGTGAATTACAGCAAGACCAATCGATAGACTATGTAGCGAGTCCCTTAGAGGTTTGTCATTCTTCTATTTTTCTCAATTGATACACAACTACCGAAAATAGTTATAGCAAAATTGTATCGTTTTCTCTTTATGAAATAAGGATAACATCTTTGAATGGCATTTTGTAATTCGTGGTCCTGACAATACTGAATTCGAAGGTGGGCGGTAAGAACTTAAATTTTGAGATTTTAATTGGCTGGATTTTTCTTTGATTTGATCATTTATATATTATTGCCTCTATTAATAGGTATCATGGACGCATCATATTTCCTTCGGAATATCCATTTAAACCGCCAAATTTGATGCTTCTGACAGTTAGTATCTAATCTAAATACTTGCTTGTCTTCAATTTTATTATTATGTGAGTGTATGAGTATATACATTGAGAAAGGGAGAGAAAGAAAAAATTATCTATTTAATTTGCTTTTTTCTGATATTCAAACTCCTATTACATGCATATATGCTCTCACGGTAGCAATAATAATTTACGCCTTCTCTTTACTGATTTTTTTTTTACATTGTTGCTTATTTAGCCAAATGGCCGATTTGAATTAAACAAAAAAATCTGCTTAAGTATTACTGGGTATCACCCGGAATACTGGCTTCCAGCTTGGGGAGGTATGTATTACTAGTTCTAGCATGCATTATCGTTAATCAAAGTTTCACTTTTTTGTTTGTTTGTTATCGAGAATAGTTCGTACTGTTCTTTTAGGATTAATTGGATTTATGACTACAAAAGGTAATTAAAATAATGTCATTTATTATTTGAATTCGATAATGTTTTTTATTGATCAACTTCATGTACCATTTTTACGATTATTAATTTTATAATAGCTAATGGCGCAATTGGAGGAATCGATTACACTGAATCAGAAAGAAAAAATTTAGCAGTAAAGTTGGTTTCAATATTTGACTTTATGTAATTGCTAATGCTTTTGTGCCTGTTGAATTATTTAACAATAATTAATAATGCTAGGTCACGAGATTGGATCTGTTCCTCCTGTGGTGTTTCTAATATCTGTTCATTACCTGACAAACGAGATGATGTAAAACAAGAAAATGATAATTCTACAAAGTCATCACCATCTAAAGAGACAGCAACGGATGCTGCTACTGCTAATACTGCAAGCATTGGCACTAGCATTCCACAATTTTCATTTAAATATGAAGACAAAAATGAAAATAATGACACCGAAAATATTAATTCAATAAGAGATACAAACTTAACAACTAAAATAACATCATCAGGTTTTGGTATTGGAAACGACGATACAAAAGGTAAGACAGAAATAATTTTCGAATTTTAATATTTATTTTAAATATGATCTTCATACAATGTTATCACATACACGCAAACCAGCCGGAGTAATCGATGAAACTGCAAATATCGCAATTACCGCCGCCTCATCCTCTTCCTCCACAATAATACAAAAATCCCCGTCAATCACCTTTATTTCTAAAATACCAGATGATAAAGCTAGGGAGGAGAACAAACAAGAAGAAATATGCTCACAAGGAGAAATTCATGAAGACGATAGCACTATTATTAATGATGATGATGATGATAATACTATGAATAATGCTCATAATAACAGTAGGATTCGTGTTATTAGAAATCATTTACAATCTACACCGCTGCCAATACCACCACCTACACCAGCACAACAACCCCTGCAACCTCGTCGTCCTACATATTCATCGCCTCTATCATTATTCTTTCTCGATTCTTTAATAATGACTCTAATATGCGTGGTGATTGGTTTAGTTGCTAAAAAAATTAGCTCTTAATAATGATTTATATAAAAGATCCGAGGTCTGTTACATTTCACGGGTCAGAAACTGTATTATACCCGGGGGATTAATAACTGGGAGGAAATAAACAACATTCTCAGTATCTGTAATAATGAGATTAAATTATTGTTGTTGTGTTTCAAAATTTTCTTAGATTAAAAAAAATAATTGGTTCCATTCCGCTGAAATTTGTTTTATTGCTTATCACAAGTTGTATAGATTTTAAAAATAGCAGCAATGATGACTTGAAGATCACGTTTCATAAAACTAAAAGGGAATGACATCAATATTGATGTAACGAAATTTTATTCACTCAAAGAACAAATAACGATAATGAGCAACTTATTAGGACTTTCATATTATGACGAAGAGGAAGAGGAAGAGGATCAACAACAGCAGCAAAATGAAGAAACCTCTATGGAATCTTTTTCTGGTAAAAAAAAATTAATCTTTTATTCTTTGTGATCGAATAAAAGCTCAAAATAATCATTTATTCATAATTAAAGCAGCGCAAGATAGTTCAACAAGTGTAGCAGTAATAGACTCAAAAGATGCAAACGTAGATTTAAAAAACGTAGTATGGTTTTTTGCATTTCTTGTTTTTTTTGTACTTTTTGTGAAAGGAGCAGAGTCTGTTTGATTGACAAGTAATGCTCGATTTGGTTCCTAACAGAGTCCCTCTATGTCTAATGTCACAATAGATAATATAGAAGGTAATTAATTGATTAATTAATTAATTACATTTGAAAAACAATTTTCATGTCTGGAAATTCATGTTTATTATATTATATTTAGTTTCAAACGAAACAACAGAACAAGCAGTAAAAATTGAAACCTCACCAGTATCAAACTCTCTTACCACTCTTATTCATCGACGATATAATGAACCTAATGCTGCCGCCAGTATAAGTACCTCAACACCAGAACTTCAAACTCCATCGGAAAATAGACAACATGAGAAACAACCACCGCCACAGATGTTACCACAAACATCAATATCATCATCATCATCATCACCACCGCCAGCAACAACGTCGTCATCGAAAACACTTGATAATTCACCAACATTCGACTCCAATATATCGACGTTGATTCCAATGGAAATTCAATTTGACGAAACACAAGAAGAACTAAGGAAACAAATACGCATGCGAGAATTACTGAGACCTAAACCAATACCGAATGTCGAGAATTGGGGCATACCCGCTGAACCAGATGCTGAATGTGATCAAAATGTGCAGGTAATGTATTCTGTGATGGATAAATCATTCTTATTTAAACGAAGAGATTTCTCGTGTGTGATTTTGTTTTTCTGATACTAACAGGAGAAAATTTCTCGTGTAATGTATTTATGTGGGAAAGACCAAAATTGAACATTTTCTCCAATTAAAAGAACAAGGGGTATTATTCAACGAAAATCTTTTGAAAAGCAAAGCATTTCGTAACCCGCATATATATTCCAAATTGGTAGAATTTATTGAATTGGACGAAATTGGTTCAAATTTCCCCAAAGATGTTTTTGATCCTTATGGTTTTCCGCGTGAAATGTATGCCGATAAATTAGGTAAATAAATTATTATTGCTAGCATTGGTTTTTTAAGATTATTTCTTGTCACTTTTTCAACCAATTCTCTTAAAATAGCGGAAACGCAGAGAAAAATAACAGAGGAACGTCAAAACGCACAATTACAACAACAGCGAACTCATATCCAATTTGTTGGCTCATCTGGTAGTTCGACAGGAATATCGAAATCACGACATGTAATGCAAAGTTTAGCTGCTAGGGCCAGTGGTACTACCACATCATCTTCTATGGCGTCAACAACCACTTCTAATTCTGTTCCTTCCGGTGAGAATGTTGTCAATATGCTTTCAAATATTTCCATTACTTTAGTTAGATGTACAACATTTCAGCTCGATTCTTTTTTTTTTCTACACTCTTTCTCTTTTCTATTTATGAATTATGGCCCCAGGTAAAAAGCGAGCAAGTAAATGGGACGTTCCTGCAGCTGCTTCGGCCCCAGCTGCTGCTTCATCTACCTCTTCAAGATCTAATGAACGTCGTAGTTATCATCACCACCACCATAATCATCACCAATCGTCATCTTCCAGCCACAGTACCCGAGATGGTAAGAGAGCAAGGAATTGATAATAATGAGGATGATAATAATAATAGTAATTATGCATTTGGGTGATTATATCTATATGGAATTTTAGTTCATTTGCTTTTTTTTCAAGTCTCAAGTATCGTAAAAAATATTTATTTATTAATAAACTAAAATAAAGAATATCTTTTGCGTAGAGTTATTTATTTGCTTAATTATTTTATGCCGAAAAGTTGTGCTACATTATCATTTAAAAAAAAAATATTAACGTTAAATAAACATCTCGTATATAGCAAAGCTATCACTGATGATTTTTATAAAAATTTAGGTAATACACAAGAATTTCTTGAAACAAAATAAAATGAAAGATTGATTACTTTGTATTATTCTTCCAAATATGGTGAGAGATTATCAGTTTCTTCCAGTAATTCATCGTCGATCACCAAAGATTTCAAACATTCACTTTCCGTCAATACACCTTTATCCTGATATTCTTCAAAGATCGATCGAATTTCATCAGACATGTGACAAAGTTCAAGATAAAGTGGCGCATCCAATTTACGCTCGCATTGCTGAAGAAAAGTGGCTAATGTTGATGCATCAATGACCCAATTACTTTTACTCAGATCAAGCACTTGCAGAGAACTTGGAATACAATTTGCGAGTTGAGACTTAATTGCGTTGATTCCTTCTGACTCTCCAGTTGCATGTTCTGCATCGTCGTCGTCATCATCATCATCATCATCATCACTACAAGATCCAATTATCGTCAATGATTTAAGAAGCGTCAAGGATTCAAATAATGACGGTAGTCTTTTGATTGCATCTTTTTCCACTAATAATTCAAGTGATAAGCATCTTGGACAAAATTGCTTTATCGCTTCGATCAATTGCTCACAAGTATCATGGTTGTCGGGTGAACTGTCCCATAAAATCTCGATTTCAGTTAGATTTCCATTAGTATGTTCCAATAAGGTGATCAGTTCTTTGACATACAGTTTCTCAAATGTCAATGATAATGTACGTAATTTTGTGAGATTGGTCTCGGCCAATTTTCTGAATTCGGTAACTTGGAAATCTCCAACAAGTTCAAGTGATTCCAAAAAACCAGATTTATTGAATATATCGAGAGGTATCGAATTGTTTCCCGTGATACTCAATTTAGTTAATGATTGTGTTCTTTCACGTAATGCTTGGGCAATGCGCGGTGTAGTTTGCACATTACCACCAATATAATCGAAAGTTTGTATGTCTCGTTGAGCATTGATAAGATTTGCGAATTCTTGATTATCTTGTTTATATTCTACTATTTCGAAACCCTTAATGTTTTGTGAGATATATGATAACCCTTTATAAATGTTTGAAAACTCACTTTCCACTATACAAATGAGATGTTCTAGTTCCTTAAAGGAGATCGGTGCACCTGGGAATTCGGTAAATGGTATTACAGGTGGTGAAACAAATCCAAAAGGGCCACGAATAGTAGTGTGTAAACTCAATTTTTTAATTCCATCTGACTTAGCAATAATCAACCTGCACAATTCTTGCGTAAGGAGAAACTGCGGTCCCTGTTTTTTTTGCTTCAAGGTAGCATTGCGAGTTCCGACGGAGAGCGCTTGAGTCTCGTTCAGCCACATGCCAACATAATTGTATAGTTGGTAATAGTCAAGAGTCTGAATGAACGAAAGATAGTCGACCAATGGCTTTTCATTTTTTGATTCGGGAAACTTTAATTCTTTGATAGTATTCTTGACGGTGTTTGGAAGAAAGGAAACTAAACTGTTGATAAAATCTGTGGAGTTTCTTTGGAATTTTTCAATTTGGTCTTCGTCATCAAAAGGGGACAAACAGGCACCGAAAGGATCCCTCCAGAGGATTTTTGCAGCTACCGATAACCATTCATGGTTTACAAATAAAGAAGAATACAGTGAGTTTTCCTCTTCGAGAAATTCAAAAACATTGTCGAGGCATTCTAATGAAAGTTGAATGACCGACATTTATGTTAATGCACATACTGTCGATCTTTTGATCTTTTTCAAATTATGTGTTTGATCAAAACAATTAAAATTGTCTTCGTTACAAATCTACAAACCTCCCCCTCCCTCCCCTCTCATCAGTATAATTTGAATTTTGCAGTAGATTCAAGTTCAAGCTATGCTTCACTCTAACTCTATATATCCGTCACCTTCGCCACCAACATTGTACACTTCACACAATAATAGTAACAATATACCGTCTTCATCTCTTTCCTCCTCAAACACGAACTCTAATAATAATAATAATAATAATAATAATAATACAGATAGCAATGGTTCGCAACTTTCTTGGGAGTTTCTGCGAAAACAAGCTCGACAATTAGAGAATGAGATCGAACAGAAACTCACCAGTTACTCAAAGATAGCAACCAGTGTCGGGAGAAACAGTAGGATCGTCGATGGGGGTGTTGGTAGTGGTAACGCTGCTGCTGGGAATTCGAATGAAGCCATGGAATTAGAATTAGATGAGTTATTGAAAAAAGTGCGTGAGTCCTTTTAACTGACCACATTTAAATGTCATTTTATATCAATTATAGGTTGAATAATATTTATTTTTACGTTTCCGAATATAGTTATCGATGGTTGTTAATTCTATGGCAGAGGTTGTTGATCGACCAACCACTGTACCCACAAGCCCATCCATTATGCACATGCTTCAACGACATCGCGATATTCTATATGATTATACAAAAGAATTCAAAAAAACACGAGCAAATATTCAGGCGGCTAGGAATCATGCAGATTTACTGAGTTCTGTTCGTGAAGATATAAGGTGTGACCACAATTATTTATATGTATAGTAATTCTCAATATCGTTGAATTATGAATTAATCTATTTGATTATCTTTGTTTGCTAAGTTCGTTCAAGTCAGGAGTATCAAGTGAAACTGATTATTTTCTGAGTGAGCGAGGTCGTATTGAGAATTCTCATAGGATGGCTGATATGGTGTTGGAGTACGTATTTTATTTAAATATATTTATTTTAAGAATTGGTATCTTGTGTGCACGAATTCACAATATCTCGGTGTATGCGTGTGACATGTGCATGTCAGAGAATATGGTATCATCGATCGAGAAGATTAAGTGGTTCGTTTCTAATCAAAATTTGTTTAAATGTAGACAAGCATTTGCAACGAGAGAAGAATTCGGGCGGCAAGGTGCCACTCTATTAAACATTAACAAAAGGATCGCAGGTGTCACAAGTATATATCAGCCAATTAATTTTAATAATCTGACGTGATATGCATACAATTCCTCTAATTTTTTATTCTCGTTATTTTTATTTACTTGTATAGATCTATTACCCAATATAAGCACATTAATTGGTCGTATAAGCACCCGGAAAAAACGTGATACTTTAATATTAGCCATTGTCATATCGATTTGTATTATTTTTATTTTTCTGTATATAAAGGGTACTTCTTAATGTTTCCTTGTTTAATATTAATAATAATATTTCTATCTTGTCTTTATTAATTATTGATTTTTAGGTAAGAAAGATGATGGAATAATATTTTTCATTTCTTGTACTTTTATAAATGAATAGCGAGATAATAATGTATGTGAATGACTGGAAAATGTGATGTTATTATAATTTAATTATTTTTTTTTTTAATTTAATCGGTGAAAAATAACACTTTTAAAGTTAGAAATTTCAAAACTAGAAATTTTAATATAAAGTAATGAAAAATAAAAGAAATCGTTTATTGCAGTCAAATATTTTACATTCACTTTTTTTATAGTTATATTTTATTATAGCATCTGATTCAGAACTAGTTATTAATTAATTAATTGAATTTAATAATATGATTCTAAAGAAAATTATATTATTGTATTAGTTCTTGTTTTATATTCCAAAGTAAAAGATTCTTAAATACAAGATTTTTATTAGCTAAGTAATATAAATTATAAATATAATTTTTGAAAAATAAGATTTAAGATAAATTTATTAATAACATTTTGTTTATTATTATACTTTTTAATAAATTCTAATTCAAATTATTATATAATTAATTCAAAACTTAAATTAAATTATTTATAAATTCAGTTTTTACTTGTATTTTTTAAATATATTTTAAAATTCTTTAATTTAATTAACTAATCTATTTTATATTTTATTTTAAAAATAAAGAAATTAATAAATATAATCTTTCTAATATAATTTCATGCTTTTGAAAATAATAAAAAATATGATTTTAAAAAGATGATAATTATATAAAAATCAAATTTTTTATGTTTTTTAATATTTAAAATTAGAAAATATAATTATAAAGAGAATTAATTATATAAAAGATAAGAAAAAATATGAAAAATTATAAAATATAAATATAATATATTTTATAAAATCAAAAAATTAAGAAATATTATATTATTATTATAATAATAATATTCTTATTCTATTTAAAATATTATTTATAAAATCTTTTTATTATAATATTTTATATATTTCTTTAAATAAATAAAATATTTTGAAAAGTTATATCTTAATCTAATTTAATTTTATTTATTATTTTATATATTTATTAAATTATTATTTTTTTTAATAATTTATTATTATTTATTTCTAATTATATAAATATATTATTATAATATAAATTTTTATTATAATTATTATTTATTAAATATTTTATATTATAATTTATTAAATAATTATTTATTTAATATTATTAAATATTAACTTGAAGAAATATTATTTATAAATATTTATATTTATAAGTATTTAAATTTAATAAAATTATTATAATTGTATTATTATAGTAAAATTAAAATTATATTACTAATTAAATTAATAAAAGTAATATAAATATTATAGTTAAGTAATATTTAAAATATATAAAAATAATAATAATTATATATTTATTAAATATTTATAATTATAAAAAATTTTATCATTCTATTACATATTTTTTTATTTAATTATTAATTATTATTATTATTTATATTTTATTAAATTATTTATCATATATTTTATAGTTTATTAACTATTATAATTATTATATATATTATAAATTATTAATTAATATTTATATTATATAATTTAAATATATGATGGCAATCAAAAAGAATGTAATATTTAAATTTTTTACTAATTATAATTAGTAAAAAATTTAAGTATTATATTATTTTTGATTGTCACTATATATATATTTTTTTAGTTTATATTTACAGTGGCAATCAAAAATAATGCAACGCTTAAATTTTTTACTAATTATAATTAGTAAAATACGTATTTTT